AAGCACAGCCACCAACAACCTTCTGAATTGGAAAAGTCATCATCCTATTCAGCAGAAACGGGGAATACCAACGGGCCAATATTTACGCTTAAGACGCAATTGCTCAGACTTGGAAGATTTTAAAATACAAGCAAGAGAACTGCGCCATATGTTTAGGTCCAAAGGATACCCCAATAAATGCCTGAAGAAAGCGTATCATAGGGCTCTCCTAACTGAACAGGGAGACCTATTAAGAGAAAAAAAAGTCTCCTCCTTAACACCATTGAAAGTCGAACAAAAACAACTTAGGTGTATTGCCACCTTTGACGCCGGCTGGGATCAAGTGAAAACAATCATGAATCGCTTCTGGCCTTTACTAAAACAAGACATGTATCTTAGGGACGTCCTCCCCCCCCATGCAACTCTGACAGCTAGAAGGGGCAACAACCTGAAAGATTTATTGGTACATAGCCACTTTCAGCCTAACAAACTACCTACACATTGGCTGTCAGAAAAAATTAAAGGTACCTATAAATGCGGCAGGTGTAAAGCCTGTAGGTATATTAATACCAACTCCAAAAATTTTAATAATAGCTCCAATACAGAAAATTTCAAATCCCTTTCATTTTTTAATTGCAATTCAAAAGGAGTGATTTATTTAATCACTTGCCAATGTAACATCATGTATGTAGGCAAAACCTTCAGACCGTTCAAGAGACGAATTCTTGAACATATAAATTCAATAAAAACAGTAAGGAACATAGAAACATCGGTTTCTAGACATGTGAAATTAGTTCACAATGGGGACTCTAATGTCCTCAAATTTCAAGGCATCGAATTAATTAAACAGGACCAGAGGAAGGGCAACTGGGATCAACGTCTGAGAAGACGTGAATGCTACTGGATCTACCGCCTCAAAACCCTGTCCCCCAAGGGTCTTAATGAGGGTTTCTCATACTCTCCATTTATTTAGAAGTCTCTCTATATTTAATTCTTGTGCATCTAAAAATAGTCCACTACCTATCTTAGTTATCTGTATATACACTTTTTGAGGGAATTTTCACTACTTTTTTATGTGTAGTGCCGTCCATTTTCTCTCCCCTCTTTTCCCTCTTTCTATTTTGTTAATCTCTATAGAGGGTTCACTATGTATGGATAGATGTAACTATCCTTAAGATGGCTGTCATTTCTTGGCTTTTAAGATATTCCACTTATTAAATACAAACGAGCTCTCTGAATGATATATTTTCTAAATAATATTTGAATAGTAATTTTACCTTTAATTTAAATGGTTTAATATTCTAACTATGCCTATCTAAATTATGTGAGCCATATTAATAAGATCTTTCTCTCTTTTAATTTGAATATCTATATTTCAAGTAAGTGAATTTCATCTCTCACCTTCTGTATTCTAGTGTTAACTTTAGATTTATACAAATAGTCCGTTATTCCAATTATATATTTGGAAAGATAGGTTTTAATATTGTATCATATATCCCACCTATGGCTCCTAAAATACGGGCAAATGGTAACCTTCTGACTATGTAATAAAGTAGCTGTGTCCTAGACAAGTTTAACACTTCATAAGGTTCATCTGTACACGGTGGACCCTCAGCCAGTCAATCATCTGACGTCAATAACGACTAACTCCACCCCCCTACAGAGTGGAAGTGAATAGGGCGTTACGTCATGAACGACGTGATGATTGGCTATTCGAGATTTAAATACAGGGAGTGTTTGGGCGGCAATTCTTATCCCTGACGAAGGAGTTTGCTACTCCGAAACGCGCGTCGGATCTTTTCTGAGGGGACTCCCACTCACGGCACCTTGGCACATCACTGTGCACACCTTACGATGCACTAGGGAATCCTCTCCTCTCTTCCCCCCGCCCCTCTTTTTTCTCACCTTTTGATTATGATTATTATTATTTCTTGCTAATCACTTATGCCCGCAGTTTGCTTTTAGAGTTCCACTTTATTTGACAGGATAACAGTGTTCAGCTCACTATTTAGCTTAGAACACCCACGAAGGTGTTTACTAGCAGAAGTGAGGGTAATAACCAACTACCCAGCTTAGAACACCCACGAAGGTGTTTATTAGCAGAAGTGAAGGAAATAGCACTAGAACGGAGTTAGTTCCTTTTGCTACATCAGACTTGAGTTTGATTATATATCCTGTCTCTGCTGCCTCTCTCCTTTCTCCAGACACTTGCTGTTTCTATTCATTCCTTCTCTATATGAGCATTTGGTTCAACATCCCCACAGATCTATACTGTACCATTTCCGCGGTTATCTTTCATATTGATTCGATATATCTGGAGGGATTGCACTGTTTAGGGGATTTCTACCTTTAGCATCTCGATCAATGGATTTATTCATGTATTAAGACTAGAGATTATAGGTAACCATAGGAATCAGTGATTTTCACTTTGCTGATACACAGTTGCCATCGTATCTCTTTCTCCTTAATAGGTTAATAAAGTTGTTACTTCTCTCAGTGGACCTAGAGATACTTTTTATGCACTGTATCAATTTTATTCAGCTTGTCTCTACAACTGTTCCTATTCCCCATTTTTCCTGTCTTTTGGGCTCTAGATTCTAAGAGTTATTAGGTATAATAATTATGTGCACTTATAATTTATACCTTTACCAGCTTGCTTGGTATCTTCCTCTCTTCTTTTAAAGAAGAATATATCCGAGCATTTCGTGTGTGTTTTCCATCTCTTATAATAAAGGGTTCATGCCCATATTAGGTGGAGCTGGTACCGCCTACTCTGACCAATTTTTTTCCTAGTCATAGATTTAACATCTTGTGAATCTAGGACTAAGGAAAAATAATTTTTGTTTCTTGTACGTTAAACCTAGTTTCACACGAGGATCCATGACACAGTGGCAATCTCCTATCTCCAACTCAATGTAATTTTGAAGGACCACTAAATGCACCCAGACCACTTAATCTCAATTATATGGTCTGGGTGCAGTGGTCCTTTTAGTTTTAACCCTGCAGTTTGCAGAAACCGTAATGTTTTCACTGCAGGGTTCAGCACATCTCTATTAGATGTCTTCCTGAGAGCCAATTGATGCAATTCCCCAGTGAACATTTGATTGGCTCAGTGCCATCACTGGCCGAACCTAAATAAGTAGGGGGACACTACAGAATTAGGAATACATGTGTATTCCTAATGCTATAGTGATCCTTGCTAGCTAGCTAGGCAGATTCAGCAGTATCTTAAACCTTTTATTAATGGTGAAATAAGGATAATGTGGTGTTCAGCCTTATAAAAGCAATAGATTTAGTGCTAGCTTTTCGACTACTACCTACTATTACACAATGCCTAATTGTAATTGACAGTGGCAGTTCTTTCTTTACAACCAACAGAAGCAACAGATTTAATCCCAGCAAATATATGTAGTGTATGCAGCAGCAGTAGCTCAATTTTAGCAATAATGTTTTCATTTCCTCATTATTTCTTCTTTGCATTCATCATTGTGCCAAGAAAACTTATCGAATGAATGGATCAGAAGAAAATGTTAAATTTTTTGGGTTGTTGTTGAGATATTGATTGTTTGTTTTGGCATTTTTCATTATATTAACAGTTTGCATAATATGTGATCTATTACTAGCTATCAATGATCTTGTTTATCCAACATTCAATATGCAATACACATAATGGAATACTCACAGTATTATACTTGAGAATAGTAATATATTTTCCAAAACCATCTCTCAAAATGTTGTTCTTTTTTTAGAATTTCAGTAGATTATCAGAGGACTTCAGAACTATGCAGGAATAGACTAGGCCCAGAAAAAAACAGTGATGGACTGGCACCTGAGGCTTAATGAGGCACCATGCATGTACGTAGTGGGCATTGGATAGCATTCCCTTCATCCCCCATAAAACCTAAACTTACCCCTTCAAATAACGACAGACAACTTCTTGGAGAAAACAGGCCACAGCATTTATTAACACAACCAAATACTTTATGACTCCTTTAACATATAACAAAATAATAAATATCATAAATTAACATAAACAATTTGCATATAGTCATACAGTAACCAAAGAAACCGTCCTTGCCAATCTAACTTCCCCAAGGCTCTCACCTCCCCCCCTCGGCATAATAAAAACATCTTCCTTTTCAGGGCTCCCCACCAACTCGGTGGGGCCCAACCATAATGCTCCCCACTCGACTTACAACCCAGTGGGGACACGTCCAACCTGGTACCTCCTCCAGGTTCACCATAAGAGACAGGGGGAGGATGAGACCCAGACATTATCCCCCTTTTTCATCTAATCTACCAAACCATCCCTTATTTGGCAAGGACACACCCCCGCCACAACCCCGCTGTTTTAAGCCTAAAATCAGCGGGGGACCCCAAACAAACCAACCATGGCCTGTTCCACCGCCTCTAGAATGGCCAGATTAAAACGGTAGAGCCCAACCTCAGTCAAATTAACCCCATCTGGCCGCAACAAATCTGCTGCCTCCTTCTCAAAACCTGATGAAATGGGCATCCCCCATACCCCTATAACGAACCGCGAAACCCCACGGTTGAACCCTTCGTGGCAGCGCTCCCACGCACTCCAGCTGTGTGCTTGCAGCCAATAGTTTCTCGCCACAACCTCCGACCACACCATGCAAAAAAACCCCGGAAATGACATAAGGATCTGGGACAAGTCCCGTTTCCCTATGTCCACCCAGTCTCCGAGTGGCACCGTCCCCAGGTCAGTACCACCCCCAGGGGGAATGACCAGAACCAATGACACCCCCCCGCAAGCAAGAGAACCTGACCACTTACGGGAGGAGCCAGACCCACTTCATGTCCTCCACCGTCGAGTGCTCAATCATCCACCGAGAAGGAAAAAACAATCAAAGGAGCAAACCAGCATCCCGCACACCGGAACAATTCTCCTAGAGTCCCACCTTCCAATCCTCTGCACATCCCGATTCAGCATACCCAGCCGAGAAGCCTCCGTCGCAGCGCCAATGCGGAAAGAATGACCGCCATACAAATTGAAAATGGGAGAGGACGTTTACCTCATATACCATGATCGGGCCAGCCAGGTACGGCTGTACCGCGGACTCCCTGAGCGCCCAGACCCGACAGGCATCCAATCCTGGGGCCGCTGCCAGCGGGACCCACCTGCCCTTGCAAAGGATATCGGTCTTGTATGGACGAGTCTAGAAGGACACCGGGTCCTGACCATCCCGGACATCCGAAAAAAGAATCCTCACCTACCGGCTGACCAGTTCGGACCCACCAATACCCCAATCCTCATGGCCCCGAAGAAATGGCGAGGCATACCTCTGGGAGCACCTGGCACAATTGTGCCCATAGGGCCCCCAAAACCGTCCGCTTTGGATCCACAGAAATCGACCCCTGCACGGGCCCTACACAGCATGCCATACCAGAAACTCCATGGTAACCGCCACCCAACCCTGGGACTTAACCAGAAAACTAAACTGGACACGCGCAAGGACACCCCGGAGGGCGACATATCCGCCAAAACCCAACGCTCCAGCAGTCACAACAGACCTTCTAACAAGCAGGCGTACCCGCAAATACACCCACCTCTGACTCCCGCGTCTGCCATTCCACCCATACCCTGGAGTACCTTGGCCCAAGAGGAACCGGACCCATACAACACATGAAAACACAGGCACCGGGCACCAGGCGCTAGAGCAGGGGAAGTACCAAAAGAGAAAAGGGGGACCGAGAGCTGGCTAATCGCCTGGACAACCCCGAGGTTGGCACGGTGAATAACAACCGACTATCCTGTAGCTCCCGACCCATAAATCCAATACCACCACAATGGGAAGCTACAGAAAGGCAAGATTCCCGGTCAAGCCGCCGACCATGTTGGCACACTAGCGCGATCCCAGAATCGCCCAAACCAGACAGAGCCAGCCGCGTCCGTATAGAGGGGCAAGTCCGAACTGGACACCTCCGGCGCCTGCCAAGATGACCTTCCAATATACTCAATCAGGAAGGAAACCCAGACCTCCAGGGCCGGATAAAATGCCGTGGTCCCAGTAGTAGCGACCACCAGGCGCCTGCGAGACAATTGCCCCATGGGCCCGATCCGACAGTGGAAGGTCAACCTCCCTAACAGGGACTGCAACTCGCACAGCTGCATCCTCCTCAGATCGCTGGCCATCGCCACACCCTCTCAACCTTATCCCGTGGCAGCCAGCACTCCATGGCCACAGAGTCAATTTTGATACCCAAGGAGCTAAGGCACGTCACTGGGCCCCACTGTCTTACCGTGCACTAAGAGGACCCTAAAGCTCCGCCGAGTCAACAAGTCAGCGAAGGCCCACACACAACAGCCATCAAGGTAACGCAGCAACGAGCCAATCCTCGCCTCCTGCCGCACCACCCACTCCAGGAAAGCGCTGACACACTCAACGTAAAAGCAGGACATGAACAACACATCGGAAATCCTGTATCCACATAATACCAACCAAAAACCCACCACCCAGGAGTTGATAACAATCCATATGAACTGGGATACAGAACCCCTCCCCACCCGGCGGCAGCGGCCGAGAGCCACCCCGCGTGCCCCGCAGGGGGCCCACTTACCACTGCCTGCCGAGAGGATTGCCGTGCAAGGTGTTACAAGGTTATTTACTAAAGTGAGAATTCAAAGTGGATTTGAGGTGAATATCAAATTTAAGTCAAAAAGTAAAAAAAAAAACTTCACAGTAAAAATTATATTGGTCATTTATGAGTTCAAGTTTGGCTTCTCTGATCTTAAAATTGAAATTTGTTGAATGCAGTTTGAATTCTCACGTTAGTAAATAAGCCTAACAATACAGGACAGGTCTTTTTTTATAAGGCTGCTCTTTATTCCCAATCAATCTTACTGCTCTATATGAAATGGTGAATGTAGCAGAGCACTAGTTTCCCATAGACTTCTCTGCTGGTATTCCAAAAGTAGGAACAAGAAGTAAACCCAGGATAAACAACACCAATAGTAAAGAAAATAATCCAGGAATATCCCATCACCTTTCCCAATAACTGGACGACACACAGTATCAGGAGCAGAACTGATGTTTTATTCCACATATCCTTTTATGCATCTCTCCCATGCAAGGGAGACACCCACAGAAAATTATACAGTGACCAATCACACACAAGTTACAACCCACACATCTACTTCCCTCAGCCTGACAGATAATCCAATTATTCATTACATACTTAGGTGAGCAACATACTCAAAAATCACCCAGATCGGACCAGGGGTTCGGGAGTTACATGGGGTTGTTCGTTCGACCGACCGCACACGAGGCAGCAGCGGAAATCAGTTCCATACATTTTGGCCGTGCGGTTGGTCTCTGTTCGTGGGGTAAAATACATAGAAATACCGGGCTGAATAGTCTGTGTTTGGGTTCGTATGAATCCCTTTGTTCGTGGTATTCTTTCTACCGAACGGCGGGCCAATTATGCTGGTGTTAATACCGATGAGGGAGGTAAACTACAGGCACACTTCTCTCTGGGGTGGTCTGGTTGTTCGGTAGTTTGTTCGTATGTCGAACGGAGCTATTTTGTCGAACGGAGCTATTTTACCGAACAACCAGACGAATGCGTCATACAGTATATTGCATACAAAAGGAAATGAGACGAAATTACATTGGAACAAGAATATTTAGAGACAGCCCAATACAGTCCGCTATAGTAAAAATATTATAAACAATAACCTATGAACATTAATCCTAATGCAACTCAGTATAAGTAGAAAATAATAAGCAATCCTGACAAACGCACTTGATAGACAACTTTAACAAAATATGGAACAATTAGGTTAACAGGCCTAGGTTGATAACATGCATGTCAACAGCTTAGTCCAGCTACCCACACACTATTGGAGACAATCAAGGTTATTAACCAATTAAGTACAAATGGCATTTGTAATGGTATTTATTAATTAATGACTTTTTGTCATAAAAAAGCATAATGAGCTTAATGCTTTAGACGCACCACTAGATGTCAGTAAAGCATAATGAGATTAATGCTTTAGAGGCACCACTAGGGGTCAGTGTGCTAACTCATGTGCTTCTGGCAGTGACATCCCAGGCCAGCCTACTTACTGGATAAAACCAAATCATAGATGGAATTCAGCCTCCTTTTTCCTTGGCTTGCATTGATTGAACATGTAGCTGTGTGTATAGCTCCAGCCAAACAGGCTGGAGCCGTGTAAGTAATCTATTATAACAGCTAGCAACTGTTATAGCCTTTTGTAAGTAATGTTGTAGTTTTGTATTGTGTAATTATTGTGGTAAATTGACATTCTGCTAGCATTTGTTTAATTGTTATTATAATTATATTAAATATACATTTAATACTACAATGTTTTGTGTATTTCCTATTATATATTCAACCATAATACCGAACTCTATTAATGTTGTTATTTGTTGCTTAATTATTATATATTAAATATTACATTAATATTCATATTTAAGTCACGACTATAACAGCATTCTATGACCATCAATACAAAATGTTATTTAAGGATACTTTAAATATAATATCTCAACTGAGTCATGCTATTTCAATCAAGCCATGCTTTGTACAAATGTATGGCTTAATTGAGCTCTAAAAATCTATTAAGCAGGATGTTAGTGGCTGTCGTTATGTCTTTAAGAACCATATTATGAGAATAAAAGAAAGGCTAGACAGGTTGTGCTGGTAGGGGATGCTATTATTAAGAGGGTATATAGGGTAATATGCCACTCTTATCATCTCAACTGGACAATTTGCTGTCTCATGCATGCTCATGTTTGGCATGTGGCTGACAGAGTGGCTAGATTATTGGGAGGGGCTGAGGTGTATTTGTTTGATAACCACTTGATAAAGCCCTGCTTGGGAGAAACGCGTTGTGGATTGTTTTTACTTGTTTTATTGTTTATAATAAAGGTCTATCGGCTATTTTACTATACTTTGTGCCATGAACATTCTTTTATTTATTTGTATTACTTTCTACTCCTGGCATTCTGTTTTTTGTTTTTTTTTCTCCAGTGAGGATCTCACAAAGAATCCCGGGTGGGAATTATACCACCTACGCTGTATCAACTGAGCAGTGCTACCTCCTCAGGAATATGTGAGTAATATTTTGGGACTGCTGTTTATTCCCCTTTGGGTACCTGTTTTATTGATTTAAGTGTTTTAAACTGCATTACCCTTAAGTGTATTTTTTATCAGTTTTCCATTGTAATATACTGTTACGGTACCTCCAGTAGTAAAATGTACAAACCGCCGTTTAGCGAGTATTCCCCGTTCGCACTAATGTGGTCAGGTAGCGAGCATAATAAAACCATGCGAACCGCCAGCCAGGGAACACTCCAAACTCCCGAACGGTACCTGTACGGCTGATTCCCTTCTCGAGCTGCAAATCCACGAACGGCAAATAGTAACCGAACGTCAATAATTCCCAAGCGGCAAATAATCCAAATAAGTAGTCGCTAGTCGCTGGTAACCAAATCCCCCCCAATAACGAGACCAAGCTCCGCTTTGAGGGTAAAACACGAACTGATTTACTGTGGGCTACCTGCCCGGTATTTATGCAGGTCTCCCACTTGGTGGACACTCCCCTAGGGGACCAAATGGGAGACTGAAAGTACAGAGGGACATGGGGACATTTTGGACATACATCCCCACAATATTCCCAGCATGCAGTACAGTTCCCTCCCCTCTGCTCGGGGGATAATTGGGAAGTAACTCAATTATCTCCCCGGGCAGAGGCAATCGCCATTTTAAACACAAGTCACAAAACACATGAAAATCCATAACTTCATAACTGCCGAACATATTACATTCGTATCACGTATCCCCAGATAGCCTGGATCTGAGTGCACATTATTGGAGAATAGCGCTCAGATCCCATTCGCATAGTTCAATCGCCATGGAGTCAAAGTCTCTTTCGGTTCTTCTGTATGCGATTGACTCCATGGGACGGCTATCTGGGTTAAGTCCATTCGTGTGGTTGAATCTCCCGAACAGCTGGCATTCGTATACTTTTGTCGATTGAGAAGGGGAGGTCGACGGCTTCAGCGGTGTTCGGCTGAAAAAGTGTCCGTTTTCAGATCCATGAAATAATCGTCGAACACCGCTGGTCTTTCGCATGGACAAAATGGCCGCCGCCTCGTGGTCGACATACGAACGACGACCACCCGGCATTCGGTTTTAATTGAGAAGTGTCTGTGGTTAACCGCAACGTTCTAATTGGGATCAATAGGTTAACCAGCAGCACACTTCTCTTCTGGGTGGCCGTCCGTTCGGTAGTTTCGTTCGACAAAACCGACATTCCCTTGAATAAAGCATACGAATGGGGAAATTCATGTAACCGGCAAAACAGGCGAACAAAGCAGTTATAATCCAGACAGATGGGTCTGTCACACGGCTCCCCCCTTGTGGAACACTCCGGCAGACCCGGCTTGACCCTTTGGCGGGTCAACTTGGGGATGACCGGACTGGGAAGAAGTAGGGACGTCTGTTTGCCGGGACAACCCATCCGCGTTCCCATTCTGCTTACCGGGTCGGTAGCTGATGGTGAAGTTGTAAGGCTGTAGTGCCAAACTCCACCTCAGCAGTCTGCCATTGTCTCCTGAGAC